ACTACCTAGAACAAAATTGTCCAAAGTTAAGTCTGAAAATGTCACAAAATTCTGCACAAGACACAGTGATTAACATCTGTTTAAAGTGATGGAAAAGGACCACATAGTATACAGTATACAGCTGAAAGCTACAGAGATAGTATCAGCAAGAGTGCAGCACTAACAAATGATAACCCTGTGTTGTTATTAGATAAATTCCAAATTATAGCAATAGCATTTATCTGAATTAAACAGGCAGACAAAAGATTCTGAACAGGAAAGAATGGTCTTTTGAACATTGCCAACAGTCAGAAATATTTATCAAAATATTTATCTTCATAAGGGGAATTCTTGCAACAAAGTTGCTCTTGCTCATTTTGTCAGAGAGCAGCTTGCCTTTAGCTACACACAGCAATTTACAATTACACAGCCACCCTCTGGACACTTGAAGGAGCTTTTATGTGGGACAGCAGTGTAAGCATGTTTAATGTGAACACCTCTCCTACATCAGATCAAGTTACTGCAAACACCTATAAAGAAAATATTTTAAAATAGACTTTGATACAGCTTCTTACATAAAACATTTAATTAGGTAACACCAACTCCTTTAGCAATCTGCAGTATTTATGAACAAGAGGGAGACCTTTACATTCAAAAAGGCAAAAGACAAGTCTTATATGTACATGACCTTGTGCTAGAGATGTTTCACCTTGCTGTGCCCGAGTTTCCAAATCTCTGAAATCGAGATGATGCAGTGCTGCAGGTAGAGGCCTTGTTGAAACTAAATTCACCAGTGGCAGAAAATCATTGTTTCCCTCTAAGCAAGTGTGAGTTATTCTTAGTGTATAAAATACTTAAAAAATAGACTCAGTCTATCCCCTAAAACTGTAGTTTGGAACACAACAGTAACTTCCAGAATCCTTCTGTGGACATAATGTCTGTAAGACTTATTCTATATTTTGGGTGCTTTACTTATTTAGATATATGTCCTGCAGAACCTGTGCATTCCCAGGATTTGGTGTTCACTCCAGGTAGTAATAGTGTAATAGGTTTTTTTTCCTGTCATGATTATACTTTATTTCTTACCCCGGGCATAATAATCTTCTCTATATCTCCAAAGATGTTGTCCCAGCTGTCTGGGTCCATTGGGGCAGAATCTGGCAGCTGGGCTCTCATGTAACCTGGCTGTACATCAGGAGTCACCCGTCTCTCTCTCACATTGCTC